GCAACAAAGCTGACATTATTGCTTTGCAAGAAACGTGGCTGTTGCCACACGAAATCCAAGAGCTTGGTAATATAAGCAGATCGTTTCGATACGCAGGCAAGTCCGCGGTCGATACCTCCGCTGGACTTCTACGAGGTAGGCCCTATGGTGGTGTGGCTCTTTTATGGAACAGTTCAAGTTTCGACAGTGTGTCAGTTCTCTCCTGTGTGAGTGATCGTATCGTCGCTATTAAAGTGAATGTTACGGGACGTTCCTTCTTGGTATTTTCCGTCTACATGCCAACTGACTCGTCAGAGAATTTTCTAGAGTATGTTGAATGTTTAAGTGAGATAGTTGCACTTGTAGAAAATAATAATACTGAATCAGTTTTTGTATTGGGAGATTTCAATGCACATCCAGGTGAGCATTTCTGTAATGAACTTATAAACTTTTGTAATGACCAAAAATGGGAGTGCATTGATTTCACAATGCTAGGCTTAAATTCTAACACCTACACTTTTGTAAGTGATATAAATGGTAGTCAGCGTTGGCTTGACCACTGTTTAGTCACCGAGGCCGCGAGTGGCTCTGTTACTCAAGTACGGGTCCTATACGACGTCTACTGGTCAGATCACTATCCACTACAGATTCAGTGTAATATAGAAATCCTGCAAGAGACAGCGGAGCCACCGCGCACCTCCACTAACAGAGTCTTATGGGGAGTGCGAGATAGAGATCAAACTGCTATGTACACTAAAAGCTGTAATGATAAACTAAAAACAATAGATTTTCCTAGCGAGCTTCATCAATGCTGTGACTCAATCTGCTCAAATAACAATGCGAATCATGTTAAAATTATGAATGACTTATATCTGAAGATAATATCTTCATTGCAAGAGGCGGCCGTGATTAGCTCACAGTCTACTAAAAAAGCCAGGGTTCGGCCCATCGCTGGGTGGAACCAGTATGTTCGCGATGCTCACCGGGACGCCAGGCAGAAGTTTTTAACTTGGGTAGCTCATGGGCGACCCAAGAAGGGACTTTTATACGATGAAATGTGTTCCTCGAGAGTAGTTTTCAAAAAGAAAATAAAGTTTTGCCAAAAAAATCAGGAATTAATAAAAATTAATAATTTAGTAACGTGCCATAAAAATAAAGACTTTCGAGGATTTTGGAATCGGACAAAAAAGATGAGTCCTAAGCCCTGCGTCCCGGCCAGCATCGAGGGCACACAGGATCCCAGGGAGATAGCAGAGCTGTTTAGTTCACATTTTCAGGTGCGATCGCCTTTGAGAAATCCGAGTCGAGGTGTTGAGGTCGTCGTGTCCAGTGTGCCCAAACGTATCACCGCTAAAGAAATTGAGCTTTCAATTAAAGGAATGACGCGAGGCAAATCACCTGGACATGACGGCCTAAGCATCGAGCATTTCTTGTATGCTGGCCCGCACCTCCCGAGACTTCTGGGTTTGTTATTTACACTTTGTATCAGGCATTCCTACTTACCACCGGACCTAATGAGGTCTCTTGTGATTCCCATTGTTAAAAATAAGACTGGTGACACAGGGGATAAAAATAATTATCGGCCTATTACACTAGCTACTACTGCAGCAAAGATACTTGACGGTCTGATTGAGGGACAACTCAACCGTTATTTGACACTGCATGACGCACAGTTTGGCTTCAGGCCGCATTTATCAACGGAATGTGCCATTTTGTCCCTCAAACATACTGTCAAGTATTACACGGATAGGAGGACTGCTGTCTACGCGGCTTTTTTGGACCTTACGAAAGCGTTTGACCTGGTTAAGTACGACATTTTATGGTCTAAATTAGTTGAGGCCGGTGTTCCAGGCGAATATATTAACGTTTTAAAATATTGGTACGATCATCAAACTAACCAGGTCAAATGGCTGGATCAGTTTTCTCGGGCGTATAGGTTGGAATGCGGGGTGAGGCAGGGTGGTCTTTCCTCGCCTTCGCTTTTTAACCTGTATATAAATCAGCTGATCGTGGAACTCAGCAGCGCAGGTGTCGGGTGTTCCATCGATGGTCACACAGTGAACAGCA